GGATCAGCTTCCGGGCTCTTCCTTATCTCCACTAGGGTCGCTCTGCCGAGTAAATTGCCCCATAAAACCTCACAGTAATACAGTAATACAGTAATACATGAGCCGTTTGAGTTCATTTACCCTTTCTGGAAAGTTCCTAGGGAGGGAACATGCAATGCCAGTGGAAGAAAGGAAGAGAGGGGTGTGGGCGGGAGGCAGGCTACAGGCTCAGGCTCCAGAGAGGGGACAGGGCATGGCTGAGTCAGGCCTTGCTGTGCCAAGGTCCTTCCCACTGACCTCGGAGGGGGTTTGCTCAAGGAGAAATCGGTCCTGGCTATGCAGAGGGCATCACTGGGATGGGAGGAGAGGCCCCCCGGGGAACCCACCTGGCCCATCCCTCTGCTCCTGCCACAGACCCTCTGCGACCCCTGCAGGGGGGCCTGTCAAATGCCAGTCTCAGGGCCCCACCCAGAGTCACCAGGTTAGAACTGCTGGGACCTATTTAGTTCCCCTTTTTTAGATGCCTCCTTGGCTTTTTGGGTCATACCCGGTGATACTCAGGGGTTACTCCAGCACTCAGGGATTACTCCTGGCAGTGCTTGGGGGACCATATGGGATGCTGCGAACCAAACCTGGGTTTTTCTGTGTGCAAGGCAAATGCCCGACCTGCTGTGCTATTTCTCTGGCCCCCCAATTTTTTGTTTTGTTTTGTTCGGGGGTCACACCTGGCTGTGTTCAGGGTTCATTCCTACCTCTGCACTCCAGGATCACACCTGGTGGTACTTGGGGCGGGGGGGGGGAGGGGGGGATGAACTGTACTGGATGTCAGAGATCCAGTCCTGGCCTGCTGCATGCAAGGCAAGCACCCTTCCAGCTCTGGCCCAGAAGCTGTCCCCTCACCCCCTCAGCAGCCTGCCACCAAGCCCACGCTCTGATGAACACAGCTTCACTGTCTGACTGACACTAACAAATCAAATAAAAATCCGTGGTCTTGTGGTGCCTGCCAGGTATGCAGCTCCTGGAAGTGCAAAATGCAGCCTCTCTCCTTGGAGGGATGTGACTGGACCTGGGAGATAAATGACAACCTGGTTATATTCATGCAACAACAACAACCGAGAGAGAAATTCAAAATAATAGGCAGGTAGGAAGGGAGCAGTGCCATGCCGTGAACACCTGGCCCCCCGGCTTCTGAGCTCAGCACTTGGCCACAAGCCCTCATCGACCTCTGCCCGAAGTCTGGAGAGCCAGGGACACGGCACTGTGTGGAGTCAAGAGCACAGGTCCTGCAGGGGGGAGGCTGGGGTCCAGCCCGGGCACTGCATGGTTCGCTGAGCACCACCAGGCACAAAGCCCCTCAGCACTTCTGGCGGTGGCTTCTACTTTTGTCACTGTCACTGTCACTGTCCTCCCGTTGTTCATTGATTTGCATGAGCGGGCCCAGTAATGTCTCCATTGTGACACCTATTACTGTGTTTGGCATATCGAATACGCCACGGGGAGCTTGCCAGGCTTTGCCATGCGGGCGGGGGCAGGAGGCTCCTGCCCCTGCGCCTGGCTGTCCTCACCGGGGCCCCTTGGAGGGGAGCGGGTTGAGTTTCCCTCCCCGCCCCAACCAGGGCTCCGGCAGCCAAAGACCTCCAGAACCAGCCACCATCATGCTGAGACCACTCTCCGCACACATGAAGGTACCGGCAGAGGAACAAAGGCATGCGGGTCCCGGGGCTGAGATCTCCAAGCCTGCTTGGATCGGGGCTGAGCATCCTCCACCCAGATCCTCCAAATCCCAGTAGGCAGGGGTCACACCCACCAACTGGCCCCCTGGCGCAGTGTAATCCTATCAACGGCCAAAACTCAGACTATAAAACTCAGCTCCCAGAACCGCGCGGCTGCGAATCTCATTCCTACTTTGGACAAACTGGCAGGCTACCGAATGTAACCTGCCCACACGGCAGAGTCTGGCAAACTCTCCATGGCGTACCCAATATGCCAAATACCAGTCACAATGAAGGGTCTCATTCTCCTAACCCTGGAAGAGCCTTGAATATGGCACTTTTTAAAAAATCTCATGGCTAGGATGAAGGAGATGTTACTGGGGCCTGCTTGAGGCAATCGACGAATAACAGGATGGTCGTGATCGTCGTGATCACCATGTGGGCGAGATACTCTCGGTAGCTTCCCGGGCTCCCTGAGAGGGGCGGAGGAATCGAACCTGGGTCGGCCAGGTTGGCCCTGTGCAAGGTAAACGCCCTACCCGCTGTGTCATCGCTCCACCCCGGCTTCGACTTCAAAAACCTAAAACCATAACAGCAACAATTCCTGGGATATAGTGTTGGGGATGGCACATGCTGCCAGCTTAGTGGGGCCTGCAGGGTCCAGGGGGCCACATGAGGAGCAGGGATAAGGCAAGCACCCTACCGGCTGTACTCTCTCCAGCCCCACGGTTCTTTTGTTTTGCTGTTCTCCTTTTGGCGCCACACCCAGGTGTGATGGGGGCTATTCCTGGCTCTGCAATCAAGAATCATAGCTGGCGGTTGCCTGGGAGACCATATGGGATGCCGGGGATGGAACCGGGGTCAGCTGCATGCAAGGCTGTTCTATGGCTCTGGCCCAGCCCAGAGTTACGAATGAGTAAGTTAAGGGCCTGGAGTGATAGCACAGCGGGAAGGGCAACTGCCTCGCATGCGGCCGACCAGGGTTCGATTCCTCCATCCCTCTAGGGGAGCCTGGCAAGCTACCGAGAGTATCCCACCCGCACGGCAGAGCCTGGCAAGCTCCCTGTGGCATATTTGATATGCCAAAAACACTAACATCAAGTCTCACAGTGGAGACGTTACTGGTGCCCGCTCGAGCAAATTGATGAACAAACGGGAGGAGAGTGCTACAGCGCTAAGTTAAGGGCTGGGTGTTCAGCTCAGGGCTAGAGCATTTGCCATGCATATGTGAGACTCTGGGTTTGACCCTTCCCTGATTAGCTGGACCCTTAGGGAACATCGGGGGTCTGCTCCCAGAGTTACTCCATGTTGTGACTGCCTATTTATCCACCTGGGTCTCCTCTGAGATTTGAGGACAGACACAGGGTGATTTGCAAACCTCAGCACTAACACAGGAAAATCAGGTCATGGGGCTATTAACCATACCCCACCCCCACCCCCTTTCCTCTGGCCATTACAAGCAGAGGCTCTGCACAGTGGGGTGTCCTAAAAGGGGTAACCCTACAGGTTGGAATTATTGGGTTCCCTGGAGAAGTTAATTTACAGAATTCACTGGAAGGACAATTTGAATTTGGAAAGACGGATGCAAGAAGGCAGGAAGGTGAAATTCCACAGCGGCCACTTCCCCCACGATTAGTGACCCCGGGACTCCATCTCCTGCACCTCTAAGTCTCTTCAGAGAAATACCCACCCCTCCCGGCCCTTCTGCTGTCACCTTGGATAGAACTGATGTCCTAATTATTGCCGCGAAATCATTTTTCTGAGGTTTACCAGAAACTCTGTGGCTCCCGTGCCCGGACAGGGTGACAGAGTGACTGCACCCACCTGGAAACCCTTTTCCATAGCGAATGCTGCCGAGAGGTCAAAAAGACCAATCCAAAACTACCCCTGAGTTTTCATTTTCGTTAGAAAGAACAGCAACAAAAAGATAAGCGCGAAGAGGTCTGTGTGCACCAGGGGAACCGTGGAGGTGATTAGAGAGGAAACAAAGAGGTGGGAGGAAGAAGCATTTGCTGCTTGCCCAGATTTGAGCTTTTATCTTTTATTTTGGTTTTTGGGCCACACTCAGCAGTGAGCCTGGGTGATTCCTGGCAGGACTCAGGGGCCACATGGGGTGCCAGGGATCGAACCCGGGTCGACTGCATGCAAGACTACCCTGCACTATTGCTCCAGTCCCTAAGATTCTTATTTTTTTTAAATTTTTATTTATTTTTTTGCTTTTTTGAATCACACCTGGCGATGCATAGAGGTGACTCCTGGCTCTGCACTCAGGAATTACTCCTGGCGGTGCTCAGGGTAATTTGGAATGCTGGGGATCAAACCCGCGTCGGCCAAGTGCAAGGCAAACGCCCTACCCGCTGTACTATCTTCCTGGCCCAAGAGGTGGATTTTTACCTCTTGGGTAAAAATGATGGCACAATATGTGAGGCCGGGGGAAAGGCCATCTGAGGAAAGTAACAAAGATTTCTCAATACTGAGTTCTGAGCAATTTGGTACCTAGGCTGTCTGGGTGTAGAACTTCCAACTCGGCAAGTATGTATCTTTTTTTTTTTTTTTTGGAAAACTTCAGAACTACTTTTTTTTTTTTTAATTCAGTTGGGAAAAACATTCAGAGATTTCAAAAGGGAAAAGTTCACAGAAGCTACATTTGTAGAATATTTATAAAAACATGTATCTTAAGGACTATATGTTCTAGATACCTTCACTTTGTGTTTCCGCTCAAGGAGATACTTTAAACTCTAGAAAGAAGTTCATTTAATGAGGTAAGCTGGAATTTCCTTAGAAGTCCCAGAGTAAGCAGCAATTTGCAGCAACTAATGTGGTGGTTTGTTAAAATGTGGGACTGTGTTTATAGACGAATGCCAAGCCAAGAAAAATAGATATATACTATTGCATTTACATGGTGACCATACGTATCTTTTGTTTGTTTGTTTGTCTCTTGGGCCATACTTGGTGATGCTCAGGGGTTATTCCTGGCTCTACACTCTGTGTTCAGGAATCATTCTTGAAGGTGCTCAGGGAACTGCATGTGGCACGGGGGAAAGCAAGGTCAACTCCTTAACCCATTAGGACGGATTTCTAATTTTATTTTTTGCCGGGTTTGATTCCTCCACCCCTCTCGGAGAGCCCGGCAAGCTACCAAGAGTATCTTGCCCGCATGGCAAAGCCTGGTAAGCTCCCCGAGACGTATTTGATATGCCAAAAACAGAAACAACAAATCTCACAATGGAGATGTTACTGGGCCCGCTCGAGCAAATCGATGAGCAATGGAAGGACAGTGCTACAGTGCTACAGTGACTTTTAAAAAAAAAAAATACGGAATGCTTCAAGAATTTGCATGTCATCCTTGTGCAGGGGCCATGCCAATCTTCTCTGTATTGTTCCAATTTTAGTATATGTTTAGTATATGTGCTGCCGACGTGAGCACTACAGTGCCCTTTGAGTCACACCCAGCGATACACAGGGGTTACTCCTGGCTCTGCACTCAGGAATTACTCCTGGCAGTGCTCAAGGGACCCTATGGGATGCTGGGGATCGAACCCGGGTCGGCTGCGTGCCAGGCAAACGCCCTACCCTCTGTGTTATCACTCCAGCCCCTAGAAAGGATTTTTAAAAAATGTCCTTAAATGATGTTGAAAGCTTTTAGTAGCAAATATATCTATGGCACACTGCATCTGAGTTTGGGTAAGTTACCTTGTCTGGTTTGCTTTTCTGTTTGTTTGTTTGCAAGTGTGTGTGTGTGTGTGTGTGTGTGTGTGTGTGTGTGTGTGTGTGGTGGGGGGCACACCCAGCAGAGTTCAGGTCTTACTCTTGACTCCGGGATTACTCTTGGTAGGCTCGGGGGACCATAGGGAATCCTGGGGATTGAACCAGGGTCAGGTGTGGGCAAGGCAAGCGCTATCTCTCTAGCCTCTACTTACCTTCTCTGAACCTCTGCATCCTCCTTGGCCAACTGAGACAACTATACTTGCTGGAGTAGATCTGATGATGAAGTGAGATAATCCAGAGTCTGGGTGCTATCTCAACGGGCTGAGGGCATGCTTTGCATGTCGGCCCACTTGGGTTCATTCTTCAGCACTACATGGTACCTCCAGTACCACAGGGAGCAGCTACCCCTGAGTACAGAGTGCGGGATAGGCCTGGAGCACCACTGGGTGTGGGCCAAAAATCAAACTAAAAAGAAAAACAGACAAAAAGTGAGATGATCCGTGTAAAAGACCCACTCACCAGCAGCAGGTCCAATGCATTAAAAAGAATAAATGTTGGCCATGGTATCACTGTTATCCCACCACCCTGAAGACTAACAAGGGGAAATTCTCATGTAGGCTAGCGCCTCTAGGCAGAGATGCACGCTGCTATTAGCCATACTCTCCCTCCCCCAGGAAGGAAGGAGAGTGAGTGATATAAAAATTTTAGATTCTGGAGCCGGAGTGATCATACGGCGGGGAGGACATTTGCCTTGCACATGACCGACCTAGGTTTGACCTCCGTCATCCCATATGGTCCCCTGAGCACTGTGAGGGATAATTCCTGTGGGCAGAGATAGGAGTCAGTCCTGAGCCTTGCCTGGTATGACCCAAAAAGTAAAAAAAAAAAAAAAAAAAAAAAAAAAAAAAAAATATATATATATATATATATATATATATATATAGAGAGAGAGAGAGAGAGAGAGAGAGAGGCATGAACTTGAGGGAGTGAGCCTGTGCTTCCTCTGGGGTCCTTGCTGCCCGAGCTGCGTCTCTTAGCCAGCTGGACGCACTTTGCTGGAGTGGATGGCTGGGGCAGAGAGCCCTGATGGAGGCTGGGAGGGTCGAGTTGGTGGCCCCACACCCCCTCTGCAGGCCTGGCGCTGGGCTGGGATGGCAGCCAGATTCCCCCAGGGTGAACGACCTCAGCCTGTGCCCCGCGGGTCCTGCCCATATCATAAACTGGCAAAGGCTTCCTCTTCTGGGCGTTGGCCCGCGGTGGGGTGACTTGGGGGCTGTGTGTCTGGATTGTTTATAAGCGGGGCCGCCACCGGGCACCTCTGCACTCACTCCTGCCCGCCTCAGCCTGCCTTGTCCTGGTCTCCGGCACCATGGCCTTCACTGGCAAGTACGAGATCGAGAGCGAGAAGAACTATGATGAGTTCATGAAGCGTCTGGGTGAGTGAGCACTGACCTCCAGGGCTCTGCGATAGCAACCGGGGACTAGGACCCCCAGCTCCAGGGGGTTTCACCTATTTGTGTGGTACCTACTTTGTCCAGACTATGGACAAGGTCGAGAAACACCAGGTGCTTGACTTTGCCTTTTATTTATTTTTTGCGGCTTTTTGGGTCATTCCCGGCAATGCTCAGGGGTTACTCCTGACTCTGCACTCAGGAATTACTCCTGGCCTGGCGGTGCTCGGGGGACCCTACGGGATGTCAGGAATTGAACCCGTGTGCCAGACAAACACCCTCCCTGCTGTACTCTGGCCCGGCTCCTGGCCTTCAAAACACTTAGAGCAGTTCCACTCACTGATGGGAAACTTGAGGCCCAGAGAGGTTGTGCTAGGAGTCGAAGATCACACAGCTCTAGTCAAGTGGAGATATGATTCATTCATTCACTGGTTTGGGTTTTTGTGTGTGAATGTGTGGTGGTGGGCGGGGGGGGGGGCACATCTGGAGATGCTCAGGGGTTACTCCTGGCTCTGCACTGATGAATTACTCCTGGTGGTGCTTGGGGATCCCCCTTGGTGGGTTCAGGGGACCATATTGGATGCCAGGGATTGAACCCAGATTGGCTACATGCAAGGCAAGCTCCCTACCAACTATTGTAGCTCTCTAACCCCTGGATTAGTATATTAATTTACTTATTTAGGTTTCTGGGCCATAGCGGCTGTGCTCAGGGCTTACACTGGCTCTGAATTCCGTAATCACCCATGGTGGAACTCAGAGGACCATTTGGGGTTTCTGTGATTGAATCCAGGTTGACTGAATGCAGGGCAAGTGCCCTATCCACTGTACTATCTATCCAACTGTTTCATTTTTCTTTTGGCTACACCGGCCGTGCTCAGGACTTACTCCTGGCTCTGTGTTCAGGGGTCCCCCTGATGGGCTCGGGGGACCGGCCATGTGCAAGGCAAGCGCCCTACCTGCTGTACTATTGTTCCAACCCCCGGAGACCCAATGACTTGAATAGAATCCGGGTACCTAGGACAAGCAGACCAACAGACCAAGGCTCATTGCTCCTTGCCGTCCCATTTTGTGGTTGAAAACTTGTGGCTCGGTGGGGGACTGGTATGGGGGGCCTGAGCCACACAGCCTCTGGCAGGATGGGAATGAGAACTGGTCACGCGAGGCCAGCTGTGTGGGGAGAGGGACCTCTCCCCCAAGTCACGGGCTCGTGAGTAGCCTCACGACTGGTCTGTTTGTCCCCGGGGGCTAGGGCTCCCCAGTGAGGCCATCGAAAAGGGCCGCAACTTCAAGATCGTCACGGAGGTGCAGCAGGACGGGCAGAACTTCACCTGGTCCCAGCACTACCCCAGTGGCCACTCCATGACCAACAAGTTCGTCATCGGCAAGGAATGCGACATGGAGACCATGGGGGGCAAGAAGTTCAAGGTAAGAGGCTGCCGGACCGCTGCCCACCTTGGTCCCCACCCCCGCCTACACTCTTCGGCAATGCCCCTGAGCATGGCACCCAGCACCAAGACCAACTCCTTGGGCAGTTTTGCCGTGAGGCAGGTTTTAATTCTCCGGGCCAGGAATAATCCAGACAGTCACAGGTGTGCTCTCTGCCAAGACTCCCTCTCCCGGGAGCCAGTTGAAGGGCTGCATATACTCTCCCCTCTTGGATGGGGCCTCTGGACTTGGGCCCACTCCAGGAGGGGGAGGGGAGGACACCCACCTTCCCCCACAGACCACGCTCCAGTCCCAGAAACCTGCCTTCTCCCTTGCCCTGCACCCGACGTGGCCTCCAGGCTATAGTTCGGGTCCGGAACTGCACTCACCTAAATTTAAATACCACAGTCTCCGGGCTGAGAGACGGCTCACCCAGTGGGAGCATGTGCAGGAGGCCGGGGGGTCCCAGCAACCTAACCGGGTGCAGTCACCGGGCGCTGAGCTGGGAACTGCTCCTGAGAAAACCAGACAAATATTTCGAAGCGTCTCAGGGGAGCATAAAAGAGAAAGGCGGCTGTTTGTCCCGCCAGACATCCCCCCACGTGGGGTCCCCAGTGGCTGCCCGCTTGACTGGGAGGGCGGGAGGGTGCTTTGTCCTCCAGGCTGCCCTGACATTCATACTCATGGATATCCTGCCCAGGCAGCAGTCTCCCAGGTTGCATGTGTGTGTGTGTGTGTGTGTGTGTGTGTGTGTGTGTGTGTGTGTGTGTGTTGGGGGGTGCCGGGGATTGAATCCAGATTGGCTGCCTGCAGAACACCTGGAGATGCTCAGGGGTTCCTCCTGGCTCTGCACTAAGGAATTACTCCTGGTAGTGCTTGGGGTTCCCCCTCAGTGGGCTCGGGGGACCATACAGGATGCCGGAAATTGAACCCAGATTGGCTGCATGCAGGGCAAGCTCCCTACTTTCTGTTCTAGCTCTCCACCCCCTGGATTAATTTATTTCTTTACTTATTTAGGCTTCTGGGCCACAGCAACTGGGCTCAGGGCTTGCTACCTAGATGGGTTACGTGGGCTGTGTGCTATGGCAATGCTGCAGTCACGCCTGGGACAAACGGTCGTCACCTTTGTGACAACCCATTCGCTTAAGGGGACGTGAGGGTTTTGGGGGTTTCCCATATATTCCAGGCCCGACTGGGGGGGTCCTTTGTACAGCCCTCCCCTGTAGAAATGGCCCAAGGGAGGGATATGACAGCCCGTAGCCCCCCTACACTGCAGAGCAGAAGCTCAGACCCCAGAGGCACACTTGCTCTCGCTGGCCGGGTGTGGGGCTCAGTGTCACGCCTCTCTTCCAGGCCACCGTGCAGATGGAGGGGGGCAAGGTGGTTGTGGACTTCCCCAACTACCACCAGACCTGTGAGATCGTGGATGGCAAGCTGGTGGAGGTGAGCATGTGGCCGGTTCCAACCTGGGCTCCTCTGGGCAGCTGGGCAGGCCTCTGTGGGACCCCACTGAACCCCTAGGGGGATGGGAAGGGCCAGCCGGGAGGGCATCTCCAATACAAAGGGACACGGCACCGCCACGTCGCGCTGGTACCCTCGTGGCGCTGAGTCCACGCTGGAACTGAGGATCCCGGCCCAAGGGTGAAGCCCAGAGAGGTGGTCCTGGGCTCGCTTCTCCCAGGGCAGGGCCGGGCCCGTCCTTCCTCTAGCCGTGCCTGTGGCAGCCGGGGCCCCAGACCTAACTCTACCTCCCGTTCTGGCTGTTTCTCTCAGATTTCTACCATCAGCGGCGTGACCTACGAGCGTGTGAGCAAGAGGCTGGCTTGAG